CTTACTATGAAAGTAATTGTTATACTTCAGAAAATTCGTTTATGTGGCTGCCACAAACGATGTTGAATTGGTTGAGATTCTGTGACAAGTTTATTGAAAACTATAGCAAAATGTGCTGCAGGATGTTCCACAGAAACAAACGTTTTTGCAGTTTAATCAACTTTCTCCATGCTTTTATGATAAAATCAATTAGGAAATGTCATTTATAACCCGGGAACAAAAATAATGTAACATAGTGTTTTAGCATTTCATTATTAATCAGTACAGGATCCCCTGGTGGCGCAGCTGGTGAAATAAACTGCTGAGCTGCTGAGCTTGCTGACCAAAAGCTTGGCAGTTCGAATCCGGGAAGTGGGATGCACTCCCGCTGTTAGGCCCAGTGTCTGCCAACCTAACAGTTCAAAAACATGCAAGTGTGAGATCAAAAGTCACAGCTTCAGCAGGAAGGTAACAGCGCTCCATGCAGTCATGCCGGCTACATGACCTAGGAGGTGTCTGCGAACAAAGCTGATTCTTCGGCTTAGAAATGGAGATGCGCACCACCCCGCAGAGTCGAATACAATGTCAAGGAAAACCTTTACTTTAACCTATCATCAGTACAGTCTTCCTCCAGGGGCAAATCAAGAATGGGCAACTTGGAAGTCCCTGAATAGACTCGGAAGCGGAGTTGGCAGATCAAAAGACAACCTGGCAAAATGGCATTACCTGAAAGAATCCCACACCTTGTGTGACTGTGGAGCAGAACAGACAACTCCGCATCTGTATGCTTGTCCACTGTGCTCTGCCTCATGTACAGAGGAAGAATTGTTGGAGGCTACAGACAATACTGTTGCTGTTGCCCGTTTTTCGTCAAAAGATATTTAGCCGCCTACGCGCCTTCTATTTTTATCAGTTTTATACTAATTTATGCAATGCTTTTGATACGAAATAAATAAATGTTTATGGAATAGTATGGGAGATAGTATTAGTTAGGCCTATTTTTAATAGTAACTCCCAAGCAACCAGGCACTACATTTGTCTGGCATTTACCAATCCACATGGATGCTGGTTAACCGAGATCCTACCATATTTTGAATTCTCAGCGTCTATTTATAAATTACAGCAATGAGTTTAATAATATCCTAGCCAGCATATTATAGATTTTATTCAAACTCTTCCCCTTCTAAGCTTCGACTTTAGAGGGGGAGGAATAGTTTATTTTGAGCACAGCCGTGATAGAATTGTTTGTTGGAAATGCTGCTCAAAATAGCATCCCTTTGTCCTATATTCTGTTCCCACTAACATAGTTATTACAAATAAAATGTATAATTTGTATTCTGAATATTTCATTCAGTCACTGCCGGTTGCAAATGATGGTGGGAACATGCACCTCGTGAATGGAGCAAAGTGGATAGTTTCAGTTGTCAGCATTGGGGAGGTGGCATTGGGCAAGAGGTCCCCTTCCTCAGTAGAGCATCTTCATTATGGCTGCTGTGATTCACTTGCCCTGTTCTTCTAGACCCAGTCCACAGTATGGACACTGTCCTGGAGTAAAGCAAGAGTAAGCAAATTGCAAGCTTCCTGTTCCCTTTTTCTTTGTTCCTATCACATTGAGAGAGCAGCAATGAGTTCCACAGGTTTATAGGAGGCCTCAAGAGGAAAATTTATGTATAAAGGTGCTGTGTTTCCTGTGTGTTGGGTCTGACTCGAACTTTACTTTTTTTATTAACATATAGATTGTTATTGCAGTTTAACAAGTAATTGCAATTTCTCTTTTCTTGTTCTCCTTCCATCCTCCTAAGTACATTAATAAGTCAGTAACTGCTATCAGCACATATTCTCTTTTGCACAATGATTTATTTAATGAACAGCAAGATGTATGTTTCTTAACACATTTTTCTTTGATGAGTGGACAGGGTTGTGGGAGATGACAAGCTGGAATGTGTCCAGAGGAGGGCGACTAAAATGATCAAGGGTATGGAGAACAAGCCCTATGAGGAGCGACTTAAAGAGCTGGGCATGTTTAGCCTGCAGAAGAGAAGGCTGAGAGGAGACATGTTAGCCATGTATAAATATGTAAGAGGAAGTCACAGGGAGGAGGGAGCAAGCTTGTTTTCTGCTGCCCTGGAGACTAGGACACGGAACAATGGCTTCAAACTACAAGAAAGGAGATTCCATCTGAACATGAAGATCTTCCCGACTGTGAGAGCTGTTCAGCAGTGGAACTTTCTGCCCTGGAGTGTGGTGGAGGCTCCTTCTTTGGAGGCTTTTAAACAAGTGGTTGGATGGCCATCTGTCGGGGTGCTTTGAATGCAATTTTCTTGCTTCTTGGCAGGGGTTTGGACTGGATGGCCCACGAGGTCTCTTCCAGATCTATGATTCCATCTTTTTATAGAATACTAACAAATGGATGCAAAATAATGACAGGTAGCATAGATAATGCAGAATGTGGGTCAGAGCTCATAGTGTAGGCTAGCAATTTGTTTTCAAAACCAAATGTGAGCTCATTTATACAGCTGTCCCCCACATTATGAACAAGATAGGTTCTGTAGGTTTGCTCCTAACTTAAATCTGTATGTAAGGTACATTTTAAAGTGTAACTCCAGCCAAATATATATATTTAACTTTGGATAGCATAGGGAAAGATTAACACCCCCATGATGTTGTTTTGCTCTGTTCAGAAGATTTCATCTTTCTGTCCCTGTGATAACTGGATTTTGTAAAATGTGGCTTCCAGGAGTGAATTTCCCTTCCTAGAGATAGAATTCTCTCACTTCCTGTTGTCTCACCACCCTAACCCTAACCCTAACCCTTAACTAGGAGTCAGATATTTGTAACTTGTTTGTAACTTGGGGACTGGAGCCCCCGGTGGCGCAATGGGTTTAACCCTAGTGCCGGCAGGGCTGCTGACCAACAGGTTGACGGTTTGAAACTGGGGAGCAGAGTGAGCTTTTGTCTGTCAGCTCCAGTTTCTCATGAGGGGACATGATAGAAGTCTCCCACAGAATGGTAAAACATCTGGGTGTCCCCTGGGCAGCATCCTTGCAGACAGCCAATTTTCTCACACCAGAAGTGATTTGCAGTTTCACAAGTCGCTCCTAACACACACACACACACATACACACACACACACACACACACAAAACCTTGGAGACTGCCTGTATCTGAAAATCCACTCTTATTTTCTTTCACATTTTCTTCATTTCAACTAATGAAGTCTAATAAAGGGAGACAGAATTGCTTCTTTATTTTGTTAAGCAAAAAGGAACTCGAAACCTTTTTGGATCGAACACAAAAACAACCCCACATAGTTCTCAGTAGATCCTGATTTGCCTTCTGCCCACCCGTTTTAAACCATGCATCCTGGCGCAACCAGAAAGGGGGGAGCAGGAAAAAGAAGGAAACTCAAAGCTGGTAAAGTGCACATGATCAACAGTCTCAAAGTAGCTGCAAACAAGACCAGGTAACTCCCATTATATTACGTCGGGATATCTAATTCTGTTCATGAATGGTAATGAATTATTAGTCTGCACAGTAATATTTTAGGGGAAACAAAACCTAGCAGTCATGTGGTGCTTTTAAAGTAGAAAAATCCAAGACTATATCTCTATTTACTGGAGATTAAAGAGATCTTTTCCAGTTTAATTCAAAATCCCATTCCATTCTCTTTTGGTTTAGAAACACTGTCATTCAGCAAAATAAATACTTTGAACATCAAGCAACTGATTGTAGAGCAAACTCTGTTCAATCAGAATCAATAAAAGCGATATTCGGAGGATCTGGAGAATGATTTCCAACTTTCAATTTTGTACTAGACACAATGATTCTAGAATTCTAAGAATATTCTATATTCTAAAGCTGGACTCCACTGACAAATCTGCACGCATTTTGCATCTGGACATGTTACTTCCTTTTTCATACAAAATTCAGAATTTGGTTCTATTGAAAAAATAAGGGGGGGGGGGGGAATGACTGAAAATTTAGAAATGTGAAAAACCAATTTGAAGGGACAGTAAAATATAGAGTAGATAACAGGAGGTGTGCAAAGAAAGTGAGGAAAACTGAACTTCCCGAAGCCYGGAATTTTGCGCATTTTACTATAAATATTCCATTAAAACTCACAGCATGTTTTAAGGCATTCTTTCKGTAACAATGTGGCCTAGATCATGCAGGAGATACTGAATTTCACATTCGAGCGTAGCATGGTCCTGTTCCACAGAGGTCCAGCTGTGCACAGTATGGCAGCGCAAACTGGATGCAGTGATCTCTACCATAGGGGTGGTAATACGTAAAACATATTAACTTGCATTTTAATTACAATATATTTGGGTTGTTGTGTGTTTTCCGGGCAGTATGGCCATGTTCAAGAAACAGGAATAGGAACAGGAACATGGCCATACAGCCCGGAAAACACACAACAACCCAGTGACTCTGGCCATGAAAGCCTTCAACAATACAATATATTTGTTTGATAGTATTCCAACGTGTCAATTATGTCATGTCCTTGAGGCATTAAAAATCTTAATTAAGAGAAACTTGGTCAACAGGTTGTTTTGAACCAGCGCTTGCATTTTAGCAATGTGTTTATAAGCAACGCATACCAACCAAAAAGAAAGCTTTGTTTTTTCTATTCACCAGGAAATGAGATTTTGTTAAGACATGAGCAACACTCATAAAAAGGTTTTAAATATCCTGCTCAGATAAAAAAAGGATACTCAAAGCCTTTCTTTAATGGAGATGGGGAGTGTTGTGGCCTGACAGGTCCATTTTTGAACTCAGGAGCAGTTTCTTACCTAAATTGTTACTACTAGTAGTATCTAGCAAGGAAAAGAATGCATTGCAAAGTAAAGTTCACGTTCAAATTCCTATTCATCTGTTTTGTACTACCACTGTGGCCAATAGATATAACGTTTCCCATTAGGTAAGAGATAAAATTGGTAGAATTTCTATTATGTGTTGAACATAGACACATTTCTCCTCAGACAGGTTTTATAAAAAAAGAAAAACAAGCACCATGTATACCCAGGTAAAAGTCTTTTTACTCAGAGTGGTTTAGACTGTAAAGAATATCTTACTGGATATATCTTACTGAATATTTGTTGTTTTTGAATACTGTGCCAAAAAAAGGGAAAAAAGTAACTCCACGCTTCATGACCTTTTGCAAGATGGACAATCTTAAAAATCCTAAAATGACAGATTGTGAGAAGTTGATGATTCCATATCTCATTTACTGATGAACAAGAACAAATGACTCATCATCATCATCAATAGTAATAATAGTAATCATAAAAAGAGGCAAGGGTCTCAAGAGGCACTGGGAATGGCTGCCAGTCTGCACAGACTGATGAAAAGTAGAAAATTCAAAACAAGAGTAAGGAGCTTCAAATCTGGGCACGCCTCTGTGGCTTGTCACTGTTTTGCTTGTGCCATCACCGAAAGAAAGAGCAAATGACAGAGTATCAGGAATCCACATAATCTGGGCAGGAGGCAACTCACTACAAAGACCAGTTGTAGCAATTGCAGCTGATTCCGGTCACTAGGTGGGAAGAGTGTTCCCTTGGTCTCTGAATCCTTAAACATCATGCTCCACCATCTTGGTTGCAAATATACAAGGTCTTTTGTCCGACACACACTGCACTAGTTTGTTTTGGTCACGTATAAAATGGAATTTTTAAATGTATCTACATGCTTAAGAGTGCAGTTTTGATCCTTTCTTGATTCAAAGGCCTTGATTAATTAAATAGTCGCCAGTCTTCTCTCAAGCCTTTAAGTGGTTCATGTAAACAAAACACAGCTAAAACGAAATGTTTTGTCCTCGTCCTGGAATAGTCTCTATCGATACACATGGTTTCCTGAAAGTGTTGTGTTGGCTAGATGTAAAACAGGCAGAGGGTGAGCTTCTGTGTTAAAAACCCAGTGATCCAAAGGTAGGAGATCATCACTGGAGAACAGCAGATACAAATACCTGCAAAATCAGACAGACAGAGGAAACAAGTTTAGAATATGCAGCAGAAATATTTGTCACTGTACCTGAGTTACACAAGATCACCTCAGATTAACTGTGGGCAAAGGGTTTTAAAATAACTCTATCAACTGAATACTGAAAATTGTAGCCGATCAATTTATTGATTATGTTGGTATACATTTATTAACACTTCTTATGATAATAGGATAATAAAAGACATTATAAAATTTCTCTTTAAACACATTTCCTTTATAAAGGAATGCTCCTTCTAAGGTGATACTCCTACTTGGATACAGTCCTGCAGAGATATCCAATGGTCAACATGGTTGTAAGTATTGTTGAAGGCTTCCATGACTGGAATCACTGGGTTGTTTGTTGTAGGTTTTTTGGGCTATATGGCCATGTTCTAGAAGCATTCTCTCCTAACATTTCACCTGCATCTATGGAAAGCATCCTTAGAGGTTGTGAGGTCCTCACAACCTCTGAAGATGTTTGTCTTAGATGCAGGCGAAACGTCAGGAGAGAATACTTCTAGAGCATGGCCATATAGCCCGAAAAATCTATAACAACTCAATGATTGTAAGTTTGCTCCAAACAGTCAGCATGGTGTACTGGTTTCAGTGTTGGACTATAGCTCTGGAGACCAAAGCCACCTTGATTAGCATTTAATGGCCTTGCAGCTTCAAAGCCTGATTCAAAAAACAGGGAAATTCCAAACAGGAAACAATCAGGGCCAGCTAACACCTCCCAACAAAGGATTCTTCCAGGTAGAAACAGCCAGGCTTTGAATCTGCAAGGCCAAAAAATGCTAATCAATGTGGCCAATTTTAACATTCACACTTGTTTCAAACAAACAAGAGGTCTTTCTGGGACATTCCACAGATATATCAATCCCACTTGCCTAGTTTCCAACAGACATCACAACCTCTGAGGGTGCCTGCCATAGATGTGGGGAAAACTTCAGGAGAGAATGCTTCTGGTATATGGTCATACAGCATACTCACAGCAACCAAGTGATTCCAGCAATGAAAGCCTTTGACAACACAATTCCGGCATTGTTTACAACATTAAAAAAGTTAAAGTATGAGAATAATTGTAATTAAAGAAGACTTCATCTTATATTGTCGGAACGGGCAACATGAAAGTCATGGACCACATTCAATCCTGCGGGCCATTTTTGTAACTTCTGAGGGGTTTTTATGGCTGCAAAATGTCCACAGATGCACAGTTCCAACATGTTTAGAGGCCCCCTGAATTCCTGAAGTGTCAAAATCAATTTTTTGAAAACTTTCCAAAGCAATATTTCTCCAGGGTGTATGGGATGCTTTTGCCACGCTTTGTCTCCCTTGGCAAACTTAAGTCCAAGAAAGGTCTTTTTAAAAAACAGGAGGTTGACAGGAAAAACATGGTGAAAAGACTCATGTTGTTCGCTAGAAATAATTTGCAATCAAAACATTTTAAAAGTATTTTTGTGGGAGCAGCTGCAGTTGAGACATGTGGTCCAACAAATCTCCATGGGAGCTAATCCACTCACTCTGGCCTTCTACAATTGACCATCCCTTCTATAAATATTAGGTATTATTGTATTTTCCTCAGTGGTTCAGTCTTGCTCAAATAGGAGGAAGAAGAATTTGCTTACTTTAATGTCTCAGCAAGAAAAAAACTTTGCTGTACATCATCAAAGGTAGGTGCAGAGGAGTAGACATCTTTGACCCCTGAAAATCCACCACTCACTCGACAATACTTGTCAATGGCCTACGTAAGAGCAGAAAAAACAATGAATGCTTTACCAATGATTTCTTTTCACATTAAGTATAACTGTTATACCATTATTACAGAATCACAAACAGAAGACAGTAGTAGAAGAAAACCCAAGATTCAACACTGACATTTATGGAAAAAATAAAACTCTGGCAACAGTATATTCAAAGGATCCTTTCTTTTTACAGTAGTATTGTCAAATGCTGCATTTCTGATCCATTGCATCCTCATAACTCGCCATGTACAGCAGGGAGTCTTCTGCGGAGAACATCTGCATGATTTAGACCCTGGAAAATCTTCTACTTCATACAGAGCCTCTCTAAATAAAAAAAATGCTCTCTGCTCTCCATGTACAACAGTGGTTCTCAACCTTTTTTTTTTTTTTTTTGCCAGGGACCACTTTGACCAGGTACCATTCTCCAACATTAGTACCAAAAAGGTTACGAATCAGTTTTTGGTCAACTTTAGATTCGGTTTGGTTATTTGGGGTGCTGATTCAGAAAATTGCATTAGACAGACCACATCAGTTCTAGTTACAGAACATATGCCACCCAGTAGTTGCCATCTGCTCTCCCACAGAAAACCATATTTAATAATCTAGGGATGATGAGGTAGTGGTAATCTTCCATGAGTAGCCAGCCACCCCCCTCCCGACATCCCCATTGTTTAGGCACTAACAGAGGGTTTCGTGAGATCAGTCGCTTTTGTTGCTGCGTGGTTTCAAGGCAAAGGTGTAGTAATGGTGAGACCGTGGTCTATATTTTCATTCTTGTGGACCACTGGTGGTCCATGGACCACAGGTTGGGAACCACTGATGTACAGGCAGTGTCACTGAATCAAAAGGAAATAAAATAGCTTGTACTCCCCTGTCTTACATATAGGACCTATACACACTTCAAATGCCCTCTTTCATACTTCTCTATTTCAATGTTCATTGTATAGCTCAAGGTATTATTTGTAAAGTATGTCTTTAGAATAGAAACATTTAATAATGTAATATTCTCATGTAAGGAAGCCAACTGATATGATGTAAAATTATAATTAAGTATTATACCCTATAGGTTATATGACAAAGCAGGCGACTATTGAGAAACACAAATGTTCATCACATCTCTCTTGCCAAAAAAAAAAAATAATAATGGTGAGGAACGGTTTCAATATTTACACAGAAAAGAAATTAATATTTACCTGTGCTGCTTCCCAGCCCCATTGCCTGTATTTTGGATCATGTGTGAATCGCCACATATACCAATAGGTCTCAATCACCTCTGGTCGTAAAATGTAATATTTTTCATTTTGTCGCACTGCTACTGCTTCTACACCACCATCAAATTTGAAAGCTTCAGGACCCAACTTTAATGCTGAAAAAAGGGAAATTTTGTTTTGTGTAACATCAGATATGGACATTTCTATTTTATGGATTTTCTGCATCAAATGGGTAGATTTATTGTTTGTTTTAATTTTTACAATTATTCTGCTGCTACTTGAAATTGTGACATAGTTCTTGCTTTGTTGTTTTAGAAAAATCTAAGAGACTGAAAAAATAATGAAAGTACAAACAGTTATACCATTTTAACATGTTATAAGATCCCAGAATACAGAATAATGGAGAGAGCACTTGTTGCCCCAGAAATTTTTCACTTCCTCCTACATCTTAATTTTGAGTTTTAACATGTCTTGGCTTCATAATGATTTTTTTAATGTGAAACTCTCTCGCTCCTTTGCTCAAAACAAGTGTACTATCTGGATATCAATGTCATATGTGTGTGTGTGTGCGTGTGTGTCACTAAGTGCTTTCCATACTTTGCTTCACATGAACACTTCTACTTTACATGCGTAAATGTCAAGGAAACATGGTGCCATATGTGGCAAAAACAGATTACACAATACTCTGAAGTAGTTGAGAAATCAAAATACATAGAAAGATTCAAATAGGGTGAAGATGCTGAGGGTACATGGCTATTGATGTTTTAATGTTTATGTTTTAATTGGTTTGGATTTTAATGCGTTTATTTATCAATATGTTTAAGAAAAATGTAGCATTGAATTGTTGCCTTTGTAAGGCTGCCCTGAGTTCCTTTCAGACTGAAAAGGGTGGGGTACAAGTGTAGCAAATAAATAAATAAATAAATAAATAATTGTCATCTCCTTATGCTCATCCACACAATACATGTACCAATACAAACAAGACCGTACACGTTTCAATACATTCTCAGCACAAGTAGTATTTTACTTCTTCTTTTCTATGTATTAAGGGAGAAAATGTATGACTTCCATTATGTTAGTGATGTACTATGTAAATCTAGTAGTTGTTGTTGTTGTTTTTTTTAAAAAAACACTTTTGGCGTCATTGCAAGAGGGTTTTTTTTTAACAAAAGCTATTCAAATGCCTGGCAAATCCATCTCTTGGTTGCAATATTCCTCCTCCATGGACATTTACTAGAAGGGGGCATATAAGAAGTGCCTGGCTTTTCTCCTGATATTTTGCCCACATCTATGGAAGGCATTCTCAGAGTGTGTGAGGTCTGTTGAAACTAGTGAAGTGTGACTGTTGCAATGGGCCACCTTGATTAGCATTTAATGGCCTTGCAGCTTCAAAGCCTGGCTGGTTGCTGGACATTTCACAGATTCCACTTGCTGAGTTTCCAACAGACCCCTCAATATCTGAGGATGCCTGCCATAGATGTGGACGAAACATCAAGAGAATGCTTCTGGAACATGATTTCCCCAAACAGCCAGGAAAACTCACAACAACCCAGTGATTCCGGCCACGAAAGCCTTTAACAACACACTATCAGAGAAGTTTGTATGAGAAACCACTACATATATTTCATGGAACACACAAACTTTCTTCTTTGGTGACAGGGTTCATTGCACCACTAAATGAAGGTCACCCTGGTTAAGATTTGAGCAAGTGTCAAATCTTAAACAGAGTACAGTTTGCAGTTTCCTGAGGTTCATGGAATCCACATTCCAGTATCTGGACAGACAGAAAAACCTGCATTCTGCTTAATCATATGGATCAGCCACCAATGTGGTGGCATACTTCCTGGCAATAATGTGCCTTTGCTTCATGTTTACATTTCAAGACAGGATTGGTTTGAAATCACTGCAACCCTCCCCCAGTCCCACCGCCACCACTCCCATCACACAAACATATAGTTTGATGGTTTTTAAACATAAACTTCTCATTTTGGCTTATTTGGCTTCTCTTTATCTTATTGAGTGAAATAATTGGAAGCCAACAGTAAAAAATATATTTACAAGTCTGGCTTAAATCTTTAGAGATTTATGGTCGTTTTTGTCTCTCGAAATATTGCTTTCTCACTACTGATGACTCCCAAAAACCTACGGTGCTTTTATGCACTTCTGTCAAAATTAATTTAAATCAACCAGCACATTCACAATTCAAACCCAAATACCAGATCTATGGTATATGTTAAAGTATAGCATATACTTTACCAAGCTTACACCATTTTCCATTTTTTCTTACAGCTCGGTTCTGCTCTACGCAGCCCTTTTACTATTTGCAAGACCAACAGGGAAGAGGGAAAACACATCAAAAACCTAAACAGGCAAGGATGCTTACTTGTCCTGTCATATGACTCATGACACGTATGTGCAATTTCTGCTCCAAGTTGTAGATAATGCCCAGCCTTGTCATCTCGAGAACCATCTGCTCCAAGTGCAAACATTCCCCCAGCAAAGCATGTGAGATGACCCATTTTCCTCTCAAGGTGCCCGTTCTTCCACTCTCCAATAAAAGTCAGCCCTCCATTGGACTTTCTGACAAGATGTTTCTCTATAGCCTGAAGGGAGAAATCAGTATCTGTCAGTTACCTGGAATATTAGAACAATCTTATCCTTGGAATTATAGTAACATCCAATATATTAGTGCACTTTTATACCTTGCATTAATTGAAAAAATATTTCCTAAGATGTTTCTTTTCTCTGAAATATACACATATGGATACATTTTGGATAAGCACGACAAATTCAGAGAAGAGAATCCTTAAAAAGTAGGGGGGGGGGGGATAGCTGCTTTTCTTCTTCTCTCTCAGCCATAGAGGCTGGTGGTGGTGAAGGAAGGGTAGGCTTATAGGTACTACTCTGTCACATGTGATGGAAATAAGTATATTATCCCCTTCATCCTCCCTCCCAAAGTGAGGGAAGCAAAACTATAAATCAGGAAGTCAGGCCTCTATTTTTTATCTCTTTTTTCCAAAGGCAGAATCATCATACTGTTGATCCAAGTGTCCCTTTGGAAGGGTTTGAGTAGGATGAATTGGTTAGAATAGTGGTCCTCAACCTGGGGTCCCCCGATGCTTTGGCCTTCAACTCTCAGAAATCCTAATACCTGGTAAACTGGCTGGGATTTCTGGGAGTTGTAGGCCAAAACATCTGGGGACCCACAGGTTGAGAACCACTGGGTTTTTCTCTAAAGCGATGAAATCTCCTGGACTAGGACATTTTCTCTTTCTGAGTCTATCATATGTTCACTATTTCTTTCAACCCCAAAGAATATAATCCATTAATCTCTTAGGCCTTTTGCGCAAATAACATAATTGCCATGTAATGTGAGTTTTGAGGCATTTTTAAGCCTAGAGGCCAGAACTTAAACTTCCATTTCATTGTAACAGCTCAACCAATGTAAGCCAGTGAGAATTGCCTTCATTTTCCAGAAGTCATTTCCATTTGTTTGAATCACAGAATCATAGAGTTGGAAGAGACCTCATGGGCCATCCAGTCCAACCCCCTGCCTAGAAGCAGGAAATTTGCATTCAAAGCACCCATGACAGATGGCCATCTAGCCTCTGTTTAAAAACCTCCAAAGAAGGAGCCTCCACCACACTCTGGGGCAGAGAGTTCCACTGCTGAACAGCTCTCACAGTCAGGAAGTTCTTCTTCATGTTCAGATGGAATATCCTTTCTTGTAGTTTGAAGCCATTGTTCCGAGTCCTAGTCTCCAGGGAAGAAGAAAACAAGCTTGCTCCCCCCTCCCTGTGACTTCCCCTCACATATTTATTCATGGCTATAATTTTTCCTAAGTTCCTGTGAAAGTGAGTATTTCCTTTGCGTGCCAACTGGCGAGACTACTGTATTTCTGCACAATTGCTCACTTTGTGCTATTAATACAAAATTGTCAGCTGACTACCTATCATTTTGCAGCTAGATGTTCCATAAAATCAATAATGCCACTCAGTATGATGTCATTCCCCCCCCCCCCACCTAAATATTACTATCGTGACATTTTGAAGAAAAGTACTCTAAAACAGAAAAGTCCAATTAACCCCAGACAACAGTCAATAATGAAGAATGGTAGGAACTACATCAGGAAAGGCATTTGAGGAAGAACTGCCATATCTCGCCTCGTAATAGCTGCACCCCTCTTTTCGGATCTCAAAATCAGTTTCTTGCCTTTCCTCGGCTCTGACTGGGACTCCCCTTCTCCTTTATCTCCCTCCTCAGAGGGAAGACATAAAAAAACACAACAACAATCCAGAAACCACCATTATTTTTCTTTGCATAATAGTCACACCCCTCTGTCTTTTTGGGAAAAGGGCAAAAATGTGACCACAATGAGGTGGAATACGGTCTGCCCTAGAACCAAAAAGATTATCAACAAACTGAAAAAATAAAATCCCTGCTTGTTATTCTTTATTCAGTTGTTTCTTCCTCACACAATTTAAGTCAATGGACTTTATATATATATATAAAAAAAAACCTCTTAGGGACGAATTTTATTATATATATATATGTCAAAATCTCTGCAAGAGCCAGCATTTTGCTCATCACACAGAGATGATTGTAAACGCTGCCAATGCTTTTAAAATAACTGTAGCTGTAGAAATTGTCCTAAAATGCAGTAGGCCATAAAATGAAGCATGGTCCAGTAAAAACTGGTGCCTTCTGCTCAACTCCAAATGCTAATTCCTGAAAATGATACTTTTGAAATGTCTACCTCAATCAATGCTTTGATAGTGAAGTGTTTACAATAGTATTAGGGTGGTATTTTCAAAGCTTTGGGGACGGTTTTCAGCCTCTTTAATACTCTCAGGTCATCTGAGGGCTAAAAACAAATAATAATTTAAAGCAAATTGAAAACAACTGGAACTTCACTTCTTTTTTTAGGGGGTTGGCAAGGCAGGCTTGAGGAGGCTCCAAACCTGCTTCCATGAGAAATCTCCACTCTTGTGGGAAGCAAACAAAGCACTTTTGACAGATTAGATTTTTCTATTCATTAAACACAATCTAGCCTCACTCCAGCCACCCCTGCTTATAAGAACTAAAAGGCCAAAAACTACTAGCATTTAGGCAGAATCTATCTCACTAAACTGAGCATGCTCGGGAATACAGATTCAGGACACTAATACACATTTCTTAGAAAGAAAACTGATGAAAAAAATCAGGATTAAAGTCAAAATCCAGTTCTCAACACATGGTACTTGTCACTTTTACATAACTGATGATTTCATGCTACAAGAGGTTAACACAGTTCTAGACAACCTACAAATTAAAAAAAACCAAAAGTAACCTACCAGACAAGTGTTATGGAGCAAGTTTGTTTTCTGCTACTCCAGAGACTAGGGCACAATAGAGCAACTGATTCAAACTACAGGGGAAAAGATCCCATCAAAACATTAGGAAGAACTTCTTGATGGTATGAGCTGTTTAACAATGGAGTACACTGCCTCCATATTTCTTTCTCTGTGTTTCTTTAAACAGAGGCTGGTAGCCACTTCTCAGGAGTGTTTTGATCATATATTATCACATGGCAGGGGGTTGGACTGGATGGTGATCTTTTCCAATTCTATGATTTCACTGCCTACCTCAGCTTATAGAAGTGGGTGAGAGTTATCAAGCCCCTGGCAAAGCACAATATATCTCCAGTGGGCCACAGTCAGTTCAGTGAATGTTATCTATGTGTTCAAGAGTAAAGAATATTAATGAAGGCTGAACAGGATTGTGTATACCTTGCTGTCCTGCAGAATTAAAGAGCATAAAATGTCTTAGGGGTGTATTGCCTTATTTATAACGTGGGAATCAATGCACTATAATCACCTCAATAGCATCATCATACATTTTCCTTGCTTCCACGTCCATCTTATCTGACATCAACCATGCCTTCAGCAAGTACTCATAGAAACTGTCTCCCAAGCCACCCATAGATGTATGATCTGCAAGAAAGGGTAAGGAGAGAGAGAAAAAAGAAGGAATGTTTATTAAAAATGGATGTATAAATAGCAATAATTGGAAAATATTTTAATTCAATATAGCACTGTCATTTTCTTTTAAAAATAATTCCAGAAGAACTGGCAACTAAATGCCATCACACATAGAAAACAAAAGCTTGCTATCTGCCATGGGAAGACAGAAGTTGAAATCCACCACCTTTCCATAGACTCTCATGCCAGTTGATAAAGACAGAAACTCCCAAATTCTAATCTGTTTCATTCACTGACCCATTTTTCTCCATTTCAGTTTTACTACATAGCCTTAGAACTAGAATAGAAACTGACCTTTCCTTCTTTTTCTTTTTGAATACATCCATTCAGGGGAGTCTATTTCTCCTTCACTCTTAATTCACAGCAGGTATCAAACTATCATTTTCTAACTCAGGGGCAAGCAGAGCCAAAATCCAGGACCACAGTACCAAGGCACGTTATCTGCTACCAAAGAGCTATGCTTGTCCAGACCTCTTTTATCAGGATATTTCAGTTGCTGCCCATTTCTGCAAGCCTGTACAGATCATCAGAGAAGCTTGTGATGCTACCCTCAGCAGAGAGGTCAGATTAACCCCTTCCATGCCTCCAGCAGCAGCCAAGACAGGCCAGGAAAACTGCTGGCCATGACATATCCTTCACTTGACAGTTCACAAGACCTATAGTTTATTGTGACCATCCAAACTTCTGCTAACTCAGACATGCTTCGAAATGATAAGTGGAATCTTGGTCTCTTCTGCTTTGCAGGCAACTTGTGATTTGATGCCCAGTTCATCATAAAAAAAGCAAATGAGAAAAGTAGAGTAAACAATGCAGGAGAGAGTAAGCAGGGATGACTAAACTTTGGTTTGACTGGAGTATCTGAACTGGTTTGCTAAATGACTATGTGCCATATTTGACAAAAATGTGAAAATAATACTCACGCTGCCCCCAGCGCCCAGTTCTTGGATTCAAGTAGTTTGGATAAAGTCCATTAGGACGGTCCATTTTTTGAAGCAGTTTACGAATATGCATGACCTATATTAAAAAAGGGGAATTACCAGAGCTCCTTCTCGATACAAGATGTAAATCAGATCTTCTCTTTTGAATATTTCAAATAGATTCCTTTACAAAGTCTAAATTAGGTATTTTAGCAGTTATGGGTAATTATTTTAATGTAAATTATGCTTAAATACTCTTCATATGTGTACATGTAACATGAATGTAGTTTTCTGTATCTACAATCAGAAAAAAATAAAACGTTAATATAGCAGGAAGAGACAACAAAGCTAACCTTTTCATAGTAGACAGGGTTGCCAGTTAGGTAGCTCAGGTGTACAAATTCCATATGAAGTGTACCAAACTCTGACAAGATGCTACTGCCAGCTGAAGCCCAACCCCAATTGCGACCTACACCACTGTTGGAGAAAGGGACAGGAAACAAACAAATACAATTCTGAAAAAAAGAGAAAAAGGACTGAGGAACCATTTGCAATCAAACCATGACACACATACTTGAACATTCAAATAGGTTTAGAGAATGTTGGACTCCTTCTTTGGAACTCTTTAAGAGAGATTGGATGGAAATCCTTTGGAGTACTTTAGTAGTGCATTCCTCAAGGCAGAGGGTTTGACTAGTTGGCCTTTGTGGTCCTTTCCAATTCTCTGATACTAGGTTAATATGGAAGCACAGTTTAAAACAGAATGAAAAGAAAAATACTATGCAATGTATGTACTCTATATTTATTATGTAAAAGAATCCTTGAGAGTTTTCAAACAGCCAAAATCTACCAAAATTGGTTACATATCCTTTTCACAATTTCTGACTGCCAAAATGTGCCTCTTCCTAAATGCCATACCTTTTCAGATTCACCATTGCCCATGGAATCCCTGTAGGTGTATTGAAAGCAGGAAGAAGTTTTCCGGCCAGCTGCACTGCTTTTATCTTGAATACCTAGAATAAAGAAGATCAAACCACTGTCCATCATCTATAAGACAATGCTGTATCATACTCTGGAATAAGCCCCACTAAATTCAGTGTGATATTCTTGGATTATGAGCACGTAAGCTCACAACCCTTGGTCTACAGATGACCAGGAGTTTCAGCAACACTCCCACTGATGTACCCAGTTCTTAAAAGACACTCTTATAAGCAGCCTTTAGCACTCTCCTTTGCCATCCTTGCCAAGTCGAGAACCCATTATGGATCTGACTGACTGCTGTATTTGCTCTAGATTCAGTTCAGCCTGTTAGCTTGCAACAGATATTTTACTGGTAGTGTGCAATATCAGTGTTAAAAGAGAGCTATTCTCACTTTCAGAAATAAAAACAGGGGAAGGACTGAGATCACATAAAGTATGGGTAAGAATGGAAGATGGTCTCAACTTCTAACTTGGTCACAAAATCCTGGATTCTCCAAGTAGCTGATTTGTATTCTTTCCATATATTTTCAGCCCTTAGTATATTAATATTATTACTGATACACGTGTTCTCTGAATCTTTACAATACATCCATTCTGAAGTGTGACAGATGAAAGAACCAAGACTCTTCTTGTAATCTAAAGTTATATGCAGGCAGAATTAAAAAGACTGTGAACCACTCTCAGATATGCCAAATCTTTCCCCACAATTGTAAAGCTGGGAATATTTTTCTGCTGCTTAGAAAAAAAGGAACTCAAGTAAATGTAACATTCATTTATGAGAATCACAAATGTCAACAGAAGAGTGTTTATTTGACTTTTTAAAAAGGGATTTGTGGAATTTGTGCATTTTCAGTAACATGTTAAGGAATGAGGATGAGAAGAAAAGAAGCTGCTCTTTCTCCTTTTCTTTTCACCTTCTCTGGGTTATCTGCTTCCTGGTGCACATCTGGACTGAAGAGGCAATTTCTGAGATAAGGGCTACCTTTTCACTCTTGTCCCTACTCTACAGCAATGATGGATGCTCTCCTTTTGACTCTGTCTCAACAGTTCTCCGTGGTGAAGTAACACAACAGAATTGTGCTATAGTAGTTGGGGACTGTCTGTAGGGGTGAGGTGGGGGGTGTACATGGCAAAGAAGAAATCAGTGAAGAAACCAGTGCAGTGAAGGTCAAAAGCCAACAGAGTCTGACAAGAATATTTGTGGGAGGCAAGTCAGCACCTTACAATTCATGGAAAAGGTAGGAAGTGGGAGGAAGAGAAAAAGCTCATTCTGCCCACAAGTTTACACTGAGAGCTATTCTCACTTTCAGAAATAAAAATAGGTGGGAAGGACTGAGAGCACATAAAGTATGGGTAAGAATGGAAGATTGTCTCAACTTCTAACTCGGTCACCAATTAAGTCACCGGCTCCTGTGACAAGCTATATACACTTTCAAAAATATATAATAATGAACTAACCTCTTGTCCAGAAAGATAATAGGCTGCAAGCAGGCCACCAATGAAGCGAATGTTGACTTCAAAGACAGATACTTCTGAATTCTTAGAAGAGAAAAAGGTATATACTTTAAAAGTAAGCTAGATACCAATAGAGAGCATTTGCATACAATAAATATTCTTATGTGTTCCACACAGATCTGTTAAAAATTTATAATTATTTCTAATGGGTGCACAGACAAATTAAAATCTTATCCTTCTGGTTGACAACCTGTCGAAGTTATGATAAATTTGAGCTGTCTGAAGAAGAAAGCAAGAACTCAGAATGCATACTGAGATAGAGATAACAGGATGTACTTGTCTTATGTGGATGTAACAGGCTGAACCATGCAATAAAACATGGTTGAATGAACTATAGTGAGTCTTGAATTTGTGTGTTCCCCTGCCCTCCTCTTCATTCTTTATCACTGATAAGAAAGAAATATTAGAAGCTTTCACTACCATTCTACATTCATCACCACTAAGTGTCATTTCCAAACCCCAACAGTTAAATTATTTTTAATTATGGCTAATAAAACAAGCTCAATATTAAACTCTAGTGTTTCCAGACAGGGAATAGTCAATTTATACTTTAAAAAATTTAACTCACCACACTGAAATCCAGGTGATTGTCAATCCATTCTTGCCCTTCTCTGAATTCATCATGAAGGCCCATAATGTAGAGGGTGTCAAGTGCATCTACTATAGTAGCCCCTAGCTGAGAATTTCCTAGAATTTGAAAACCCAGTTTTCATTATACATGTTTCACTTATAGAGATAATCTTCCCCTCCAATGTTATTATTTATCCATAATATGAAACCATGTATTGCTAAAAATAAATAGTTTTTTTCCAAGTACTAAATCAATTTGCATGTCAAGCAATTCTATTAAAATGTGTGTTTCAGTCATGAATTTCCTATATTTGTATCCCATCTCTTTACAATGTAACTGGAGGAGAAAATAAGAGTGGGTAATTCAAGTTGCTTAGCAATATACAGAGTTAGGGTGTGAGCTTTACTGAAATAAGATTGCCATTTTGCTTGACTAGAAAAAGGGTCCAGAAATGTATGCATGATTAGGTGACAGGTCATCTCCTCTGCAGTATGCTTCTATGTTTCAGTACCATGAGCTGCTGCAGTCATTCCTATATGGTTAAGAGCACAGGGCCCAACAATAGTGATTAAAAATGCCAATATCCTCAGATCCCCCAAACTATATTTAAACACATGATCTGCATGGTTATTTGTCACTACTGCTTCCCTACACCATTTTAGTAAGGACTTCTAACCACTGATCAAGCTGGACTTAACAAAACACAGCTCAAAATGGACACTTGTGTTATTAAAGTCCCTATTTAAAATGGTACAGGGCAGAAGCAGAGGTGGCAGCAAATAATCCACCAATAACCAAATCTGCAGGAGCTAAATCACTGAAAGTTACTGTATTTTGGCAATTACTCTTTTTAAGTTCTCTGACTGGATACAGCACACAGCTCTTCTTCTGCTCTTATAGGAGGTATATTATTTGTCTTGTCCTCCTTCTTGAAGCATCCACAAAAATCTCCACTCACATGTCTCACAAAGTATGCATTATGAATAGTCAAGAGCTTAAATAAGTCAACTTTCTCCTTTCCATTTGAAATTTCCCATCTAAAGCTGAAACAGTAAACATGCCATGACTTCGATGTTCTCAATTTACACACAATGTTCACCAACAAATTTTTGTCAGGCATTTTTATTTTAAAATGCATAATGAAATGCTTTTAAAAAATCCACTACCTAATTTTGGGGTAGTCTATTTCAGCAGTTGGGATGGCCTAAATATCATGTAGGTAACAGGTCCTGTCTGATCCTTAAAGTTAAGCAGGATCAGCCCTGATTAATACTTGGATGGGGAGCTAACCAATACTTGGCGCTATGGGCTGTATTTCAGAGGATGGAACTGGTAACACCACTTATAAGGATTCCTTACCAAACAAAAATGTAAGAAATCCATGAGGTTGTCATAACTCAAGAGGTGAGCCCAAGGCACATACAGGTATATCAGCAGTTGAGCCTTATTAGAGGGAACAATTGTGAAAGCTATCTTATTAATTTAAGATGCTAAGATTAGCCTAATACATCCATAAGGAGAACACCATGGGTATTTGGTAGTTGGGGTGGATGGTGAATCACAAAAGAAAGGGACCTTTGTTCTTAAGCCAATTCTTAAGCTCATACTACATCATAAAGTTGTTGTTTTTTTTATCATTTTGGCACAGCTTTGAAAATCCTATATATACATTTGGCAAGTTCATGGGCAAGGCTAATAGAAACCCTTGGGGAAGATTCAAAAACAGCTTTCTTGCTCTAGGGCTCCCTGAAGAACTACTGCATTCCATGTCATTTTGAGAATGTGGCTCATATATACCATTAAATCTATGAACAAGAGGTATCTTAGATGATTTCAAAATAGGCAAGAAGCAGAATTACTTATTCTTCCACTGAAGCCTTTAGTGTTGCCCCTTTGCAAATGGCAACTTGCTATTACATTACATTTTTATTTTCAGTTCATTTTAGTTCTGCTAACATCTGCAGATTTTCTCTCCCATGAACTTCACAAAATTCCCCTTTTACAATCCACTGGCTTCATTTAAAATATTTTTCTTTCTATTATTTCACTCTCTCCCTGATAGAGCAAAGTAGTAGAGACCAGTAGCTCTGATGTCAGTGATGCAATAGATCTGCTCCGAGTTTGAGTTTGAAGTTTTCAGGAATTTAAGACTCCTAAATATTTTGACAATGTTTAATCGCATTCATTTCACATGAACTGAACTATATCACTGTAAGTTTCACCTGTTCAGGACTGTAATTGTCCTACAACCAAACTAGCACTGAGCAAAAACAGAGACCGGGAAGTATCTTTCTTTTCTCCTAAAAAAAAGCCGATCATGGAAGTTGTAGTTTTACAAAGTTATTGAGCCTTCTCTGCCAGGGACTACACACCAAACTACAAATCATCCCACCCATAACACAGCATTGACCCATGGCAGTTAAAGTGGTGTCAAACTATGGAATCCACAGTGTAAATGCACCCTAGGTTAAGGCGTAAATAGTATACCCTAAAGGCATCGGATGCCGTTTGATCTTGCTAAGAACTAGAAGCAACATGCACTGTAAAAGCAAGTCCACAATGGGAGAGGTGAAGCCTTCAGTACATCAGACAGAAGTGAAGGCTTGTCTCCATGGTAAAAAGCTGGGTTTATTACGTAACAAACAAAGCTGGGGGTTATAGCCATGATGAGGAGAAAGGGTATCAGGAAAACTCATCATGTAGCAAGCAGTTTCAGAGCAAAGCTTGGGTCCCAGAACCCAAACAAGAAAAAGGGTCAGAATCTCTTTACCAGAAGGGGACAAAGAAGGACATGATTACAGTCCCTAGGAAAGATGAAGGACAATTGTAGAATATCAAGGAAAGCAGTGCTATTGCTGGCCTGGCCATTTATGCTCTTTGTTCCACCTGTGCTTGCTCAGAACCCTGGTGTCATTCATATCGATCCAGAAAAAGGAGGTGATTACTGCTTTGTCTTCCATTCGCAGCTGGTGAAATCACATCAGGAAGGTAATAAAAATCACTGGTTTGACCTTCAGCCTTTCAGTCAGAACCTCACTTACTCGGCCTTGTGTTGCCTACCTTCATTATTTGGGAAAGATGACAACGATGGAGGCGGATTCAGTACCAGAATTGCATCTATAAGAGAGGGAAACTGCAATCTTTTTGAGAATGCCAGACTCCATCAGATAAACAGAACCCAGGGGCTCCTGACTCTTGGTGGAGATGCTCCATATCCAATGAAATGGCGGCGATCTGCATTCAACTGGGGTCACTGTGAAGAGATTACTATTCCGGGGGTTCTCCTTAGCAACATAGATGTTCTCTACTTGTTATTCAAGAACCTGTTCAGTGACTTGCTATATAAAACTGGGATCATCTACTTGATGTCAATGGTCACTGTTATTGTAGGAAGCTACTGGGCTGGATGCTCAGAGAAAAAAAAGCAACATATCAAAAGTCAGTGCCAAACAGAAAATTCTGGTGAGATAACAATTGATACCAATATCTACTTGACATGTACATGTGCATTAATGGCCAATTTCATGCTGCTTTCTCTCTACTGCTTATATGACTATATGGTGTGTGCAATGACTGGCATTTACTGTCTATATGCATCTTTCAGCCTATACTGTTGTTTGTCTCCATTTGTGAGCAAATTCCCATTTGGAAGGTCTATGATCCATCTTCCATATTTCCACAAGGCACTAGAGATCAGAGCATTACTCCTGGCAATACTATGCATATCTATCACTGCAGTCTGTATTTTCTTCGGAAATGAGGAAGCATGGGGCTGGATTTTGCAAAATGTTTTAGGAATGTGTATTGGCATCTATCTTCTGAGGACAATTCATATTCCAAACCTAAAGAACTGTAGCCTGTTTCTTACAGCTCATTTGTTTTATGATGCCGTCTGTCTTTTCATCACACCTTTCCTAACCAAAACTGGAAGAAGTGTCACAGATGTGACAGCTTTGGGTTCATATGACTCAGAAAAGATCCCCTTTCTGTTAAAAGTGCCAATATTATCTCCAGCTTCAATTATGGACAATTCCTTTACTGTTGCAGGCCTCGGAGATGTCGTACTTCCTGGCTTCCTAGTAGCCTACTGTCACCGATTTGACGTTCAAGTTGACTCTTCAGGGGTCTATTTTCTAGCATCTACTCTGGCTTATAGCTACGGTCTTTTAGTGAATTTCATTGCAACAACACTCTTACAGACAAATCAGTCAACTCTCCTATACTTAGTGCCCTGTATACTCATCACTATTCTGACTGTTGCTGCTTCTCGCAAAGAAGTTGTGATTTTTTGGGCAGGTATGGGGGCTGAAGAGGATATGCCCCACCCTTCTTTGGAATTAAAAGAGTCTAAGGAACAACTCTGTCAACAAGAATGGGGAAAAGAAATTCTCAACATCACATTCCTAAAGGAAAAGCACAGTAGCAACATATTCGCAGAGGAGTTATCTGACCCGAAGACTTGCAATGAGGATGTCATTAATAACATTCCCAGCCATGAAAAACTAGCAAGTCAGCACGAAATCTACGATAATGATGAAGTGTGAAAACTACTAACACTGAAGAAAAACTGTCTCACATGGAAACAATCTGTGCTCAACAATCAATAACCAGGGGTGATTAAATATAAGCCCTTTTAACCTTGTTTACTCTATAATTCTATGATTTGGTGAAGAAAATGTTGCGCTGTTACAATTGTTGTGGAATTCAGCCACTTAGAATGCATCGTTCATCATTCAACCATCTGTATATACCATTTCCAGTCATTTTAACATAATTAAGAAACAGAAGTCATGAGCTATACAGCTGAGAGTCAGGGTACATAAAGCAGAAGTGTCAAACTTGTAACCCAAATGTTTGGGCCCCCAACTTCCAAAACCCCTAGTCAACTTGTCCAATGTCCAGGAATTCTGGAAACTCAAATCTAAAACATCTGGAGAACCACAAGTTTGGCACCACTAAATAAACAAGTGCAGGTCTGATTCTAAAGCTGTGGTTACAAGAAGAGAGACTAGGGTTTAGTCTGCCCAGGGGATTCGTTTGCTTTTGCCATGTGCCTTCAACTCATTTCTGGACTCATAGTACACCTAAAGCACCCGCTATCATGGGTTTTTCTTGGCCACATATATTTAGAAGAGGTTTGTTATTGCCTTCAGAGTGTGACTTGCTTGAGTTCCTCCCATGCTGTCTTGTGGTTGATACTGCAGAGTCCTAGTCTAACAGTTACACAGCTATGCCATGTTGATTCATAAGTTGATTTTCTCTTTTATATATTTGAATGTTTAATATTTACACTTATCGGGGGAAATTAAGCCCAGATTTAGGGAAACACTTTATCCTCAGCAAATGCCACCGTGTCCCCTAATCCTTACTGAAGAGTTATATAGAGATAGATAGATATTACTTATTTTCAACAAAGCAATCCTGTCACCAGAGAATTCTACATTCTTCTTGTAATGATGCACATTTTGCTAATTGTTGCCCACCTATATCAAGGCAGGTCAAATAAAGGCTCCCCTCCTCCCAATGATTATGTCTACATGTATATGGGGAGAAAATTCTGAAGCTTATTCATTTAATTGATTAATTTATTTGGGTCCAGATCCCAACAAGAACATATTAGTTTACAGATTAAAAGAGGAAAAAAACACAAAATATATCAAAAATGACCTGCATGACTCCAAAACCTATGGAATATTGAGATTCACTTTTGCGATTTTTAAGGAGTGAGGGATGAGAAAGTAAGTCTTTGTGAATCAATACAGAATTTTAGAGCCGAAGCTCAAATACAGATACATTTTGTTAGGTTAAAAGTCTCACCAACCATTTGGAGGAAATTCCAATTGCTATCACAGCTCCACCCACATACAATGTGAAGCAATAAGGTACAAACTGCTGAGTCTGGAAGCCAGATATGAACCTAATGTTTTTAACAGCAAGGGAGTAATTTAAAAGCTGTCCTTTTTATTACCACTGTACTATGAGCCCTGAAAGCATTGCAAGGCTCCTTTTCCAAGCCAACAAGATGTCAATAGCTCTCACTTTTATACAACTAGGAGAAAAGCCAGGTCTTCCAGTTATATTATCCTAGAACTGTAAGGAGAATATAATTCCTTTACCTTGTTTACATAAAGATAAAAAAAATGAAGGCACTGAAAATAGTCCACACAGATTTCAGCACATCCAAAGAACAATGCATTAACCAGAATACTTCTCTTTTGATGGCTTTGGATCAATTGTAATATTCTTATACTTCAGGCATTTATTCTCTCATCATATTAATATATTCATAATAGTGTGAAAGTTATCTTTTAAGATAATAGCCTTCCCTATTTGCCAGTACTTTCTGCAAGATCCCACAACTATACAGGTGATTTCCCTCATATGTAGGAATGCACAGAATGTACAAAAAAGACAATCAGTTTATCTCTCTCCTACTATTGAAATGTTGCTTAACTGTAGATAATTATTTTCATTCAATATCTGTCCATTTTACCAATGATGCAAAGATATAAGGAAAGGATATCTGGCATTTTCAGAATGGGTAACCTACCAAATATGTTGGTGGAATGTCCTTTCCTACCAATGGGTTTCAGTTCATTGTGACCCCATCCATATCGTCGATAATTATCCCAAGCATGTTTCATCATCTAAAGAATAGAAAAATTAAAAAAAACTCAGTTTGGTTAACAGAAATTAATAATGTAACATTTCAGAAACTAATTGTATCATATTTCCAGATTTTTCTCTTTATTAGACAAGTAACAGTTCTTCAAGTGAAAACCATCTTGAAAGTCTGCAGGCCTTCAAATACAATTGAACCATGAACTATAAAATATATAAAGTAAAACAGCCCAATGCCAGGATTGCTTTTCGGACATTGGGCTGTTCAAATGGGCTCAAAGTTTCAAAAGCCCACAGGAGCACTCTACCATAATTTATCTTGGATACACTCAATGTTCTGTTACTTAGCGTGAATGGGCTGGCTGGCATTCATCACAAAGTTGACTAGAATTCCAAAAGGTGTCAATAATGGCTCCTACGACCAATACAGCAGCATTAAAAGGATCCCTACTCCAGTTTTGTAAACACATATCTATTCATATGTCTTTCAAGAAAAGGAAAATAGCAATAGCTCTTTTGTCTTTTAATGGAAAGTATGCCCTGGAAAGTCGTTTGAAAGGGAAACTGCTCGGTTGAAAATTATTTTGAGCCTCCAGTCAACTGCAGTTTATTTATTGTTCTCAAGCAGATACCTAGAAAATGTTCAAAACTGGGGCAGTCGTCTTTAGTGGACAGGAGTATGGAATCACTCCATCATGTAAAACAGGTACTGTGGTTTGCAATGCACTCTCTCCAGCTACTATTTCAAATGTCTTAACTAATTTAATTGTTTCAAAAAACTGGAAACAAATTTGGCAAATTGTGCAGCCCAGGAGTCCTCAAACAAGGTCTGTGGGCCAAATGCGGCCCTCACAGGTTATTTACCCAGCCCTCAAACTAGACTTTAGACCTAGGGTCGCCCAAAGTCAGAAATGACTTGAAGGCACACAACAACAACAACAACAACAACAATCTCAAGTAACTTGACAATCTCATCAGCAGGCCCATACTTCCCATTGAAATAATGCTAAGTTTATGCTGATTAAAATGGTTCATTTTAAATATTGTATTCTTTCATTTTTTCAGATATGTGCTGTGTGCATAGCGTTATTTCACATTATAGTCCCTACAACAGTCTGAGGGACAGTGAGCCGGCCCTCTGCTTAAAAAGTTTGAAGTCTCCTTGTGTAGCCTATATACCCTAAGGACCAGATCTCATCTGACATTGGAAACTAGGCAGGATCAGCTCTGGTTAGTACTTGGATGGGAGACTTCAAAGAATACCAGGTGCTATGGGCTATATTTTAGAGAAAGGAACTGACAGAACCACCTCTGAGCATTTCTTGCCTAAGAAAACCCTATTAAATTTGTAGGATCACCCAAAGTCAACAGGCAACATTGAATGCACATACAAATACCCAAATATTGCAAACTCTTATATTGTACTTGCAGAAACAATTCATAAAGAAAAAATTGGCACTTATTTTACTGTAAATATTCAAGGAGGAAAATGATAGTTTGTTGCATAAAGACGTCATTAATATGTGTCTTGAAGCAGCATATAAGTTTGAGATAGTCACTATAGCTGGTCTGAGTCCCTCTACGGAGGTTGAGAAGATCAGGATATAAGTTTTAAATGAATTGTAAATAAAATAAATACTGGAAATCTACAAAACCCCATATTTTAAAGAACACTGCCTATCAAAACATTGGCAAACATAGCCTGGGCCATTTAAAAGATCATTTTGTGATGTTTCTATAAATGCAAGCCAATTGTGGAAGTCACAAAGGAAATATACTAATATTTAGTTTTGGCAAGAAACAATGAATTTGCCTCTTTAGTTCTTCAACAATGGCAAAAGAATGCAATTGTCAAAGGGAATTAACAACCAGCTACAATGGGATGTATCAAGGTAAAGCACGACCATTCACAGGGGAGAAGTGTTGTTGCCACATACATGATCATTTCTGATCTTTACAGAAATGACTCTATTAGGAAATATTGCTGGATGATAATCAAGATAACATTATCTGTTACCTCTTTAATTTTGTCCCTTTTTTCTCGAATGTTTGGGTCCATTGGGTCTCCATCGTTTATCCCGATGAGATTTGGCACCGGGACTGGTGGCAGAGGCTTGTTGCTTTTATTCTTCAAGCTCTTTGCTATCTTGCTTTTCTCAGTCTGAATTTCTGTTTGTATCTCAACCTGTGACTTCTGCAGTTTCTCTTTTGCTTCTTCTAGAGCTTTTTCATGGTCTGCACGAATTTTATTTCTCAGGCGTTCCTCTTCTTCCCTAAAGAGACAGTCAACAATCAAATAATTAATTTCCAAATAGTTTACATTTTCTTTTTCAGAAATGTTTAAAAGGGGCTGACCTTAGCTTGCCATTTCAAAAGAAATCCAGGAAGTTCATTTAATTAGAATCCACTTAGCAACAAGAAAAAATATGAATACATGTCATACCTCAAAACGTATGGCACAATTAAAAATATTACTAAAGCACTGACAGCTTTTAAACAGAAAAAGTGCCCTAAAATTATGGCTATTAGTATAATTCAAATTGATAAAGATCTTCAAATCTATTAATGAATTACCCTCCTGACAAAAGAATGATTTATGAAGGACCTCTGATCTTTAAGAGATCTATCAGTTAAAATACTGAACCCTTACATAACACTGAAAAGATGGGATTATGCAAGTCAAGCTGCACAAGAAAGTAATTATGATGCACATTCACATGTTTACCCAATTAAAAGCAATACAAAGTACAGTTCAGCATTGTTACATGTACAATTTACTACTTTAAGATGTAGTGATGGTTCCCGGTTTTGACAGTTTCATGGAGAATGAGGCTCTCAATGGTTGCTAACTATTTTATTCCCTCTAGTACCAGAGGCAGTACTCTTCTGCTTATTATATTCCACTGCCAAACAGCTTTTTCCACTTAGAAGTTCTTCCTAATGTTTAGGTGGAATCATTTTTCCTGCAATTTGAATCCATTGCTTGGTGTCCTAGTCAACAGGGCAGCAGAAAACAAAACTTGGTACCTTCCTAAATGTGACATCCTTTCAAATACTTAAAACATGGCTATCACCCTCTCAACCTTCTATTCTCCAAGCTAAGCATACCCAGCTCCTAAGCTACTCCATTTCCAAACATATGATCATGTTAGTTGCTTTTCTATGGATACATTCCATCTTGTCAATATCCTTCTTGAATTGTGGTCACAAGAACTGGACATAGTCCTCTAGATGAGATCTGACCAAAGCAGAATGGTGTGAGACTAAGACGTTCCTCAAGTTAGACACCATGCTCCTATTTATGAAGCCTAGAATTGAATTGGTTTTTTAACTGCTGCACTACACTGTTGAATCACTGTTCAGTTTGTGGTCTACTAAGATTCCTTGATCCCATTCACATGGGCTGTTTTCAAGCCAGATGTCATTCATCCTATATATCTGCATTTCCTTTTTATTGTCAAAGTGTAGTACCATACATTTCTCCTTATTGAAATGTATTGTTAGTTTGGGCTTAGCTCTCTAATATTGGTAATTTTGGATTCGGAGTATTAGCTATTCCTCCCAATTTGGTGTCATCTTCAAACCTAGTAAGCATGTCTTCTATACCTTCATTCCAAATAAAAGATGTTGAATACCACTGGGCCCAGGACAGAACCTTGTAGCACCCCACTGGTCACGTCTCTCAAGGATAAGGAGGAACCATTGGTGAGCACCCTTTGGGTTTGGCTAGTTAACCAATTCCCAGTCCACCTAGCAGTAGTATTGTCTAGCTCACATTTTATTAGATTCTTTGTGATAATGTCATGGGGAACCTTGGTAAACAGATTTTTCTACATCTGTAATACATGTCCATAAAGTATGCTTACAAGCAGCAAGGCTGTTCTGAATTCTAGCAAATTTTGGACCATGTTCAAAGTAAAAGTAGGCCAAGAGATCTCAAACTTCAACCTGCACTTTGAAAAAGCTATGTCTAGGTACCTTGATAGCTAAGATCAGGCATGTTAAACATAAGATCTGAATGCTCCTTGTAAGATGGGAAAATAACAAACCATTTAGAAGTGATCATGAAGACTTTTGTGTACCAGAGAGACCCACTATAAGCTCAATAGTCTCTATTATTAGCAATAGGGGTTCTATTATTAGTAACAGAGATCAAGAAAGTAAGCAAAATTGAGATATTCCAGGGATGATCTCAAACTTGCTGTTCTTAATTATTTGTTCCTGCCAATCCTAGTGGCATAAAACATACAAAGGTCATTGGAAAGGGATTGATGAAAACAAGGGGAAAGATACCAAGGCATTCAGAGAAACACTGGGTACATCTGCACTGTAGATTATTTCCTGCCTGCCTTTCCTCATGGCTCAAGAAGATTGATTGTAGTTTGACACCACTTTAACTGCCATTGCCCAACACTATAAAATCCTGGGACATGTAGTTTGGTGAGGTACCACTGAAGACTACAGATCTTGTAAAACTACAAACCCTAGGATTTGAAAACATTAAGCCGTGGCAGTTAAAGTGGTTTCAAACTGCATTCATTTTACCATAGATGCACTCTCAAATGTGGTAGGAATGGTGCACTACAACAGTAAGAGAAGGAAGTAAGCAACATTTTCTAATGGATCCAGAGCCTATAAATGCAGTTTGATGCACTAATAAAGTCTGTTATTCAATTTAGTTCAGAAAAAAATAACTCTGTACTTCAACGAAGACTAATAGCAACCTACAGATTTCACATAGCTACAGCAATGTTTGGTTACACAATTTGTATGGGCCCAAATAACAAAGCAACAGCAATCACAAATTAAGAGAGACATCTGTCATTGGAAAATTGACACTGAGAATTTAAAGAACGAACCTCGCCATCCTATACGTGTTTGATCAGATATAAGCCCCACTATATTCACCAGGGCTTTCTCCTAAAAAAGCATGTTTAGGACTACAATCAAAGATTCCACTTATAAATCTGATTTAAAGGGGATTGAAAACTCATCAGAGATTTAGCATGAAGGATTTAAGTTCATGCTGATCCCTTGAGTAGCTTTAAAACTACTCAGCCCTATTAAAAAGTCAGAAAACATATGGTTAGAAAATGAAAGTGTCATCACCTGATGTGCTGTATGTCTTTTAGTCTTTTAAATACAAACTATAGTCAGCATTTTTTTAGAATTGTCATTACTTTGTACTCAAAATGACAAATAAATTAACTCATTTGCAATGAATGAGTAGTAACAATTGACTACATAAAATGCCATGCCTTTACTGCTATGTGTAGGCACTAGCACTACTAGCAGTCTGAGAATCCACTAACTTAGTTTTGAGAAATGTGGATACAACACTGTTTTCACTGTACCTTCTGTTCAGTTTTTCAGCTTAAAGAAGTACAGAAACAGGTACTGGTAACTCTGAAAATCAGTATTAATGCCAAATATGTCAAATTTGAATTTTCTCACTAGTGTTGAAAGCAAAACAGTATTTGTTTGTGTTTACATGACTACTGTATTTCATCGCATAATAGATGCCATCACACACACCTCCTTTTGGTATTTTGTAATTCTTTGCATAATAGTTCACAGGTGTGACTATTATGCAAGGAGGCAGCACCTGCCTGATTGCCTCTTCTATCCAAGCTATGGAGGGCTACCATGGTGATCCAGCGGGACCAAGACAGCAGTCCGTAGCTCAGATGGGAGAGGCGTGTAGGTGAGTGAGCCTTCACCCACCTATGTGCCTGCTGGCAAGTGCTGCAAAAGAAGCTCCATAGCTGGAAAAAAAATCCTTGCATAAAAGGATAAAAATATAACAATTATGCAATGAAATACGGTGTTTTAATTGTTTCATTATTAGGTTCGCTGGTGCAACCTGTGGCCCTCCAGGTGTTTTGGACTTCAGCTCCGAAAATTCATGACCACTGGACAAAGCTAGCCAGGGCTTCTGGGAGGGAGTCCCAAACAACTGGAGAGTTACAGGTTGTGCAGGCCTGGTTGAACCTATATTTTAAAATAGAAGTGACTGCTTCTAAGAAGCTACAGGGTTTTAAAGGAGTGTGCTGCTTTAGGTATTGATCTAAACGTTTGCACTAGCCCTTGCCCAGCCCTTTTATAGTTGGCCACATTCATTTTGTAATCCTGGCCATCAGTTTGTTGAACCTCTACTGACGGAGCTACAATGAAATGGGTTTTTAATGTGGGTTTTGGGGGGGGGGGTGCATGTATTTAACAGGATTTTGGTATTTTATGTTGTTTTTAGTTGTTATTTTGTTCATTAAGTTAAATTAGGTTGTGTTACATTGTCAAATGTGCTTATTTTGATGTAATTGTTTGTATGGTTTTCTTTCCAGCAATTGAATGTTTGACTTATATGTTGGAAACCACCCTGTGTCCCTTCAGGGAGATAGGGTGGTATACAAAAAAAATATTATTATTATTATTATTGATCAAGAGAGAAGAGTGGGCTATAAATAACAATAATAATAGTATCAATATTGTCTAACATACACAGACCTGAAGTGATATAACTTCAACAGACAACAATTTCGTATGCATTTACTACTGGAATTTATGGATAGTTAGTAGAAACCAACATTTAACTATCAAACCAGCTATAGTTTGTAGACCCTTGTCTGGTAAGCACAATTGCTTAACTGGAACATCAGCAAATTGCATCTTCTTTGGATTACTTCTACACACTCTACAGCGAGCATACAATTCCCCTGCTGCAACAGCTGCAATGGCTGCCAGTTTGTTTCCAAGCACAATTCAAAGTGCTGGTTTTGACCTATAAAGCCCTATATGGCTCAAGTTTACACTATCTGGCAAATCATGCCTCCCTTAATGAATCCATCTAAAACCCGAGAACCTCAGGAAGGTACTTATCTCAGTCTCGCCATCATCACAAGAGCCTTTTCGTTGGCTGCCACTCGACTCTGAAACTCTCTTCCCGAGACGGCCCTTCCTTGTTATCCTTCAAGTGGAAAGCTAAAACTTTTTTATTCAAGCAGGCTTTTAAAACAGTTTTTTTTACTGTATGGTGTTAGTGAATTGTTTTTAACAGCTTTTATTTACTATATTTTAAAAATGTATGTTAAGTGAACTGTTCTACTAATTGTCCTAGTTTAATATTATTTTCATATTTATTGTTGTATATTTTACATGTGTAGGTTGAGAGCTACTGTGAGTTGTGGTTCCTGAGATAAAGGGAGTATAAATGTTGTTAATTGTTAATGTATCAAGTCAGTCGTAAGTCACAGTGCATGAAGAAATGAGAAAAAAACAAAACCATTGGTGAAACCAAAGGACAATAATTCTATACATGTTCCATATGTTTTGTGGTTCACGTGTACTGCCTTTGTTATCTTCTAAATTAGGCATGTCTCAATTAATAAATCTTCTGATAGTGAAGCTCCTTTTCACAAAGTATTTTATGACAACCCAGTCTCTCATTTTTTTTTCTTTGTCCTCTTTCCATCTAACCAAATCTGCTCAACCTGTGGCCCTCCAAGTGTTTTAGACTTCAGCTCTCAGAATTCCTGATCTCTGGAAAAGCTGGCTAGGGATCCTGGAAGTTGGGAGACCCAAACACCTGGAGGGGCAGAGCTTCTGCAGGCCTGGACATTCTCTAACACAGTGTTTCTCAAGCTGTGCTTCTCCAGGTGTTTTGGACTTCAGCTCCCAGAAGTCCCAGCCATTTTACCAGTTGTTAGGAATTATGAAAGCTGAAATTCAAAACATCTGGAAAAGTAGTTTGAGAAATTCTGCTGTAGCAGCTTCAGCACTTGGGAGGATAACAGTGTTTCTGCAGTAAACATAGCAATCAAGCTTCAGCTGGAAAAAGATGGAATTCCACCTTAGCTGATCCTTCTGTAGCCGTGTGCACAAATGTACAACAGGTAAGATAAGCAGCAGCAAAACAGTGCAGTTCTACACAGACATTTGGAAGACACTGAGCAGTGCTTACAGAAACACTTCAAAAACCAGTGGCCACAGTATGTGTTGACTGCAGATCAGAACCAAGCCCAGGAACTACAGTATCATTAGCTAGACAACCGCTGGAAAATGAGTTTTTTTCTTAATCAGCCCACTTAAGTGTGCTGATGTGCACACCCGTGTCCTTCAAGAGGTTCTATTTTCGAGCCCTGCATGGTATATATTTGATTAGCTGTAGCACATTATCTGGCTTGTTCCAAAAGGGGAAGAGGAGAGAACAAACAGCATTCAATAGGAAAATGCTGTCATATTTCCAACGTGTTTGACTTAACAAGGTTAAGTTTACCTGTCCATGAAAACTACCCCAAATTTTTCACTAGGGGCCCTTTCACACAGCCCTATATCCCAGAATATCAAGGCAGAAAATCCCACATTATCTGAGTGTGGACTCTGATAATCCAGTTCAAAGAACATATTGTGGGATTTTCTGCCTTGATATTCTGGAATACAGGGCTGTGTGGAAGGGCCCTAGAGGAGTGAGTGCATACCTGAAACTGACATTACTTTCCTTGTTCCATTCACAATAAGAAAAATAAACTTTCCTAAATGCACTTTCCTTATTGATTACGCATGTAACTCTATAGGTGCATCTGAGTACATAAGGAAACCTTGTACATTGTATAGCAAGCTTGTTTTCTGCTGCTCTAGGAGCATTCCACACAGCCCACAAATCCCACAATATATTTGAACTGGATTATCTGAGTTCACACTGCCATATATTCCAGTTCAAAGGATTTTTTTCAGCTGTGTGGAAGGGACCTGGGAATTGGAACAATCCATTCAAATTGCAAAAAAAGGAGATTCCACCTAATCATTAGGAAAAACTTCCTAACTGTAAGACCTGTTCAGTGGTGTATTATGCTGCCTTGGAATATATGGAGTCATTGTCTCTAGGGTTTTTTAGGCAGGGGCTGGGGGTCCTCCCACACAGCCATATAACCCAGAATATGAAAGCAGCTAATCCACAACATCTGCTTTGAACTGGGTTATCTGTGTCTTCACTGCCATATAATACAGTTCAATGTGGACTTTATACAGCTGTGTGGAAGGGGCCTGAGTGACCATCAGGGGCTACGATTTTATTATTCAACTTTTCATTATCTTTTCTTCAAATATCTTTGCTGCTATCCAGACTGCATGGAATCAGGTGCAGAGCAAGGCTTCTACCCACATCAAGTTGTCTTCAGGACAATTCGTCTCACAAGAGCACACAATGACCCAACTTCACCTGAAGTGTTTTGTCACTGTTCCCAGTCAGTCAAGGACATATTTCAAGAGGGGGGGGGGATAGCATTTGCCTTCTATTCCTTGGAGATTACTGGTATGACAGGGCAGAACAACACCAACTGACTCTTATACAGGCAATCCCCAAGGTATGAAAAAGATAGGTATATAAACAATGCGACAGGAAAATGAGTTTAGTAAGGAGACACTAATGATTTATGTTTCTATTGATTTTGTATGGTTTTTCTATTATATGCTAAATGTTCTTTTAAACTGTATTTCATGTCTGCTGGGGCTTCAAATTGCTGCTGATTGTAAGTCGCCTTCGGGTTGAGAAAGGCGGGATACAAATACCGTAAATAAATAGATAAATAAATAATACAGCAAATAAAGAAATAAATAAAATATATTGCTTTTTTCTTATGTATAATGTGACATTGATTTTGCCAGACTAAGTAGCTCTGAATCCCCCTCATAGAATCATAGAGTTGGAAGAGACCTCATGGGCCATCCAGTCCAAGCCCCTGCCAAGAAGCAGGAATATTGCATTCAAAGCACCCCTGACAGATGGCCATCCAGTCTCTGTTTAAAAACCTCCAAAGAAGGAGCCTCCACCACATTCCGGGGCAGAGTTCCTCGGATGAGTTAAGAGAGGGATATAAATAAATATAATATAATAATGATAAATAATAATAAAATACAATAATAAAATATAATAATGACAAGGTATAATACTTTAATCCAGTGGTTCTCAACCTGTGGGTCCCCAGATATTTTGACATTCAACTCCCAGAAATCCTAACAGCTGGTAAACTGGCTGGGATTTCTGGGAGTTGTAGGCCGAAACACCTGGGGTCCCACAGGTTGAGAATCACTGCTTTAATCGTTCACCAAAACAAAACAAAAAACCCTACTATTTATTTATTATTTATTTATTTACTGCATTTCTATGCCGCCTTTCTCAGCCGGAAGGCAACTCAGGATGGCTTACACTGGCACGATTCGATGCCACAATAAACAAACAAAATTAAAACAAAATTAGAAGCCTCACAACCTCTGAGGATGCTTGCCATAGATGCAGGCAAAACGTCAGGAGGAATGTCTCTAGAACAGTGGTTCTCAACCTGGGGTCCCCAGATATTTTTGGCCTTCAACTCCCAGAAATCCTAACAGCTGGTAAACTGGCTGGGATTTCTGGGAATTGTAGGCCAAAAACATCTGGGGACCCCAGGTTGAGAACCACTGCTGTAGAACATGGCCATATAGCCCAAAAAAAACCTACAACCCAGTGATTCTGGCCATGAAAGCCTTCGACAATACATCAAAATTAAAAACAATTAACACACATTATAAAAACCCTGTAAAAAGCATAAAACACCAATAACTTCCTATTAGCTCATTTTCCAAAGACATTGTCATTGTAAATCTTGCTGGTATCAGTCTGGCCAACTTGGGCACTCCAGCTGTTTTGGACTTCAACTCCCACAATTCCTAACAGCCTCAGACCCACTTAAGCGGCTGAGAGGAAAATGGAAGGGGGCTGAGGCTGTTAGGAATTGTGGGAGTTGATGTCCAAAACCCCTGGAGGACCCAAGTCTGGTTTAAGCCAAGCAACAGGTTTCCTCTCTAGAGATCTCAGGGTTGAATCCAAGCATGGCCTTACACGCCTCCTCCTGGGAGACCTACCTGTGCCTGTGCTGGTCGCGGCCCTGCCCGTGGATCAGATACCCCCCGGCCTGCTTGCCCCCTTCCCCGGCCTCCACGTGAGGGATGAGGACATCTTCCAAGCCCAGGTCGAAGCGCTTGTGCTTGGAGGAGTCCGGCAGGAAGAAGAAGGCCCCGAAACACAGCGTGATGAAGGCACTGAGAATCAGCAGCAGGATGAACTTCTCGGAGAGTCTCAAGGTAGCCCTGTGGTGCGGGAAGGAGGAGGACGGGCCCAGGCTGCGAGGCGGGATGCGGCGCCCAGACAGAGGCAGCAAGGCCGGGGTGGTCATCGCGCCCACCAAGACGAGGGGGAGGAGGAGGAGGAGGAGGAGGAGGAAGGAGGGGAGCCCGGCTCAGGCCCAGGCCAGTGCTCGGCGGTGGAGGCGTCGCCAAGGGAGGAGGCCGTCATCAGAGCGGCTCCCTCCCGGGCGGCAGACCCCGGACCCGCGAGGCCTGGGAGGGCTCCGGGGCGGCCACACACATCCGCGGAGGAGGAGGAGGAGGAGGAGGAGGGGGCGACGCCGTGGCCTCCCGCCTGCGAGCAGGCCTCTCAAGGCGCCGGCGGAAGGGGACGCGCCCCCTGCTTTCCTTCCTTCGCCGGCCGAGGCCTCTCGCCGCCCGCTCTGCCAACGGACACCAGGGCCAGGCAACAACCGACGCGGAAGCCTTCCTCAGAGAAACGGCGCCAATCCCCCCTTCTGCGCCTGCGCAAGGCCGGAAAAAGCGGAAGCGACGGCGGCGCGCGCTCGCCTCCCCTCATCTCTCTTACGCGCATGCGCAAACTTCGGGCTCCCTCAACTTGTTTGGGCCTCCAACTCCCAGAAGGCCTTTCCAGTTTGCTCAAGGGGCAGGAATTCTGGGAGTTGAAGGCCGAAACAGCTGGAGGGTTGCAGGCTCTAGAGGAGGCCTGCTGGACAGTAGCTGAGAAGGTTCACCTACATTCAGGCTTGTGGCCCTCCGATTCCCAGAAGCCCATTGGCTAGGAATGCTGGGAGTCATTTATTTATTTATTTTTTTATTTACTTCATTTGTTGACCGCCGCTCTCAGCCCTGGGGCGACTCGCGGCGGTGTACAACATGTAAAAAACAGTCTACAAAACATACAATATATCAACAATCAAATTACACATTAATCTAATCACACTAATAAATCCGCGCCATCACAACAAGGAATCATAGCCAATCTCATAATCCATAGTCCGTTCCAAATGTCATTACCAGATTCGTGTGGCTCAATTAAATGCCTTCTCGAATAGCCAGGTCTTTAGGCTCTTACGAAAAGCCATCAGGGAGGGCGCCTGTCTGATGTTAACAGGGAGGGCGTTCCACAGCCGGGGGGCCACCACTGAGAAGGCCCTCTCTCTCGTCCCCGCCAGACGTGCCTGTGAGGCGGGCGGGATCGAGAGAAGGGCCTCCCCAGATGATCTCAAGGCCCTCGTGGGCTCATAGGCCGAGATGCGGTCCGAAAGGTATTTTGGGCCGGAACCGTTTAGGGCTTTGTAGGATAACACCAGCACCTTGAATTGGGCCCGGTAGCAAATCGGCAGCCAGTGGAGCTGGGACAACAAGGGCGTTGTGTGCTCCCTGCGTCCCGCTCCCGTTAGCAACATGGCTGCCGCGCGCTGGACTAGCTGAAGCTTCCGAGCCGTCTTCAAGACTCTGAGCCGAGTCAGAGTCCAAAGCGCTTGAAGGCCACAGGCTGGGAGGTGATTTGCTTGGCTCTTTACTGAGAGCGTCACAGGGTAAATAGCCCTTACCTGCGCATGCGCCAGTGCCCTCCTGGCCTAACTCCTCTTTGCTTCTACTGCGTGGATCGCTTGAACTGGGCTCTACTATTATGTGGAGTCTGCTTTTCTTTTCTATGGGAAGAGGCGGCCTTTGGGACGTCCAAGAAATGCAGCCTGGAGCCTCCTTTGGCTTCTATAGAAGGGAGATTCCGTTTGAATCGACTTCACCTCCAACTCAACTTGGAACTATTAATCCACGACATGCGAGTGTGGAGAAGAGCAATCCACAGACCACCTGCTGCAATGCACCCTGAGCCCTGCCACATGCACCATGGAGGACCTTCTTGCAGCAACACCAGAGGCACTCCAAGTGGCCAGCTACTGGTCAAAGGACATTTAAGCAACTACCAACCTTGCAAACTTTGTGTTCTGTTTCTTTGTTAAAAAATGCAATGCAACTGTTTGATCTGCTCCTGACACGATAAATAAATAAAATATTAATACTAGAATACAATTGCAGCATTCACACTTGACTCCAACAGACAAGAGTTCTTTCTCCCACCCTGGACATTCCACAGATATATAAACCTCACTTGCCTAGTTTCCAGGGAGCTGTCAACCCCCCTGTTTAAGGAGCTCCATTAGCAGCCGTTTATTTTCCAGTCTCAATTCAAGGTGCTGATCATCACCTATAAAGCCCTAAAAAGTTTGGGACCTGCCTACCTTCGTGACCGTATCTCCCTCCATGAACTTGCCCAATCCTTCTTTTTTTATATAATATATATTTTATTTTTTTAATATTATATACAATCTAACACAGTGGTTCTCAACCTTCCTAATGGCGTGACCCCTTAATACAGTCCCCCATGTTGTGGTGACCCCCAACCATAATATTGTTTTCATTGCTACTTCATAACAGTCATTTTACTACTGTTATAAATCATAATGTAAATATCTGATATGCAGGATGCATTTTCATTCACTGGACCAAACTGGGCACAAATACCCAATACACCCAAATGTGAATGCTAGTGGGGTTGGGGGAGGATTGATTTTGTAATTTGGGAGTTGTAGTTGCTAGGATTTATAGTTCACTTAAAATCAAAGAGCATTCCGAACTCCACCAGCGATGGATTTGAACCAAACTTGGCTCCCATGACCAATGGAAAACATTGGAAGGGTTTGATGGGTATTGACCTTCAGTTTGGGAGTTGTAGTTCACCTATATCCAGAGAGCACTGTGGACTCATGCAATGGTGGATCTGGACCAAACTTGGCATGAATACTCAATATGCCCAAATGTGAACACTGGTGGAGTCCGGGGAAAATAGATCTTGACATTTGGGAGTTGTAGTTGCTGGGATTTAGAGTTCATTACAATCAAAGAACATTCTGAACTCCACCAACAACAGCATTGGCTCAAACATCCCACATGGAATCCCCATGACCATCAGAAAATACTGTGTTTTCTTATGGTCTTTGGCGACCCCTCTGACACCCCCTCGCGACCCCCTCAGGGGTCCCGACCCCCAGGTTGAGAAACACTGATCTAACAGTAAATAAACATCAAAAACTTCTTCGATCATATTTCTTATTATTTTTAAATTTCCATTACAACTTGTGCTACATATAACTCTATCACACACCTTTTATCCAGTTATACATATTGTATTTCTTTATAATAATTATTATTATACCATTTTCCCCCTCTTCCCCTTACCCTTACTTACCCAAACTAAGGGGAAGTGCCCGATCCTTCCGATCCTTGGGGGAGGTTCTCCTTTCACCCCTACCATTATCCCAGGCCCGCCTTATGGGAACAAGGGAGAGGGCCTTTTCTTCAGTGGCTCCCTGACTTTGGAATACATTACCCGGTGAAATTAGGCGAGCCCCCACTTTAGAAAGTTTTAAGAAGAATCTTAAAACCTGGCTCTTCCACTGCACTTTTGGAGATTAACCATATAATCCCATATTGTTGTTATCCCTCAACATCCGTAGTTAGTGCATGCTTCCTCTCTTTTTTATACGAAGGTTCTTTTCAACCTCATTCTGGAAAAGTTTTTCCCTCACAAACAATCTGCTCCACCGTTGTCTTACCCCGTGTTTTTAGTCTCAGCATTTTATTCTTTACATGCGGCCCGTTCACTGTTTGGTGCTATGAATGATTTTATTGTAATTTTTATATTGCTTGCTGTATTCATATGTGTTATGTTTTTTGTAATTTATCATGTTGTTGCTTGTGTTTTGATTTCATTTATTGTATTGCGTTGTTGGGCTTGGCCTTATGTATGCTGCCCCGAGTCCCCATTGGGGAGATGGTGGCGGGGTATAAATAAAGATTATTATTATTCCAACGGACCTCAAAACCTCTGTAGATGCCTGCCATAGATGCAGGCAAAACGTTAAGAGATAATGCTTCTGGAACATGGCCGTAAGGCCCAGAAAACTCACAGCAGCACACAATGCATATTCTGCTATCTTTTTCAGATTCGGCCTGGTTGACCTGAAGTCATGCCATTAGCTCTACATTAGTGTTTTTCAACTTTCCTAATGTCGTGACCCCTCAGTACAGTTATGGTGACCCCCAACCATAAAATTATTATCGCCTGTTTGGGCTGAAAAATGCGGTATAGAAATAAAGCAAATAAATAAATAATAAATAACTGTAACTTTGCTACTGTTATGAATCGTCATGTAAATATCTGATATATAGGATGTATTTTCATTCACTGGACCAAATTTGGTACAAATACCCAATATGCCCAAATTTGAATACTGGTGGGGGGCGGGGTGTGATTTTGTCATTTGGGAGTTGTAGTTGCTGGGATTTATAGTTCACCTACAATCAAAGAGCATTATGAACTCCACCAATGATGATATTGAACCAAACTTGGCACACAGAATTCCCACGACCAACAGAAAATACTGGAAGGGTTTGGTGGGCATTGACCTTGAGTTTTGGAGTTGTAGTTCACCTACATCCAAAATTGTGTAGCTTGTTGTCGATCTTTGTAGCCCGAAAGACAGTTGCATCTGTCAAGTAGGAAATTTAGGTACCACTTACGTAGGGAGGCTAATTTAACTAATTTTGTAACCCCCCTGGGATCCCGACCCCCAGGTTGAGAAACACTGCTCTACATCCAATTAAAACCGGAAAATGAACCAATAAATAACAAATAAATTCAACAAACAGGGGTAATCACAGAGTTGGGAGACCACAAGGGCCTTTCTACCATGGAAAAACACACTGTCAAAGATAGCCATCCAGCCTCAGTTTTTAAAAACCGCCAGAGAAGAAGAAGGCATATTCCACTGTCAACTATCTCCTACCATCAGAAAGCTTTTGCCAATGTTTAGGTGGCATCTCTTTTCCTGCAGTTTGAATCCATTGTTCCATAGCCTGATCTCAGGAGCATATAGATTCATAGAAATTGTTGGTCCTCTCAAACATTGTAGGTGAACTATAAATCCCAGCAACTACTATTTGTTGATTTAGCAGCAGCTTTTGATTCCACTGATTAGAAACCTGTTGTGGCGTAAACTCACTGACCCTAATACAAATAAGTGCTTATTATTTCTATTCCAGGGTCCCCAGTGGAGCAATGGGATAAACCCCGGGTGAATTGCTGACCAAGAGGTTGGCAGTTCAAATCTGGGGAGCAGGGTGAGCTCCCATCTGTCAGCTCCAGCTTCCCATATGGGGACAGGAGAGAGACCTCTCACAGGATTGTAACACATCAAGGTATCACCTGGGCAATGTCCTTGCAGATGGTCAGTTTTCTTGCACCAGAAGTGCAGTTTCTGAAGTCACTATATATATATTCTCATTCCAGGAATTCATTCATTTATTTATTTATTTAAGAATTTCGTATCTCATTCTTCTCTACCTCCGTAGAGGGACTCAGAACGGCTAACCGCAAAAATTCAGTGCTATACAATACAATAAATAACACCATAAAAGCAACATACATATCAAATACATTCTAAAAACAGT